AAAAAAAAAGATTGTGTTCCCCCCGCCCCTTTTTAAGATTTTGCCACATGGTGCATGTGCTCACCCAAGAGGGGAAAAGTGAGAAATCTCTTCTCCTCCATTCTCCTTTTGGCCGTTTTCAAGCCTCTGGGTCCAGACTCAAAACAGCAGAGTCGGCCATGTGGGATCTATCACCTTAACCACCACACGCCCTACTGGTCCCATATTTTATCTTTTAATATTTGAATATCACAAGATATAAGAATACATTCAAGCAAGAATCATTACTGAATGCTAAATCCATGGGTAAAATACAAAGAGACACAATATTTTCATGAGAAACAGAATATTTTCATATTATCAAGGAGTATTTCCCCACAAAATATTTCTTTAAGCTTTAAACACTAAACATATAAGTAGTGTTCTAAATACTTCACATTTAATACTTATTCATTCTACTGTGAAGACACCTGGCAGACACCATCTTTACTAAGTGATAAAACATAGCATCCCAGGAGCGGAACCAAAGCCGGCACAGTGCGCGTGTGCTTCAGTGCATCAGACGAGCACACCAGCGATTCTGCAGTGGTCTGGCCGAAAGGCAGAAGCACTAGAGACAGCAGACAAACCCAGATGGATGGACATGCTAGAGTACCAGTGCCGTGGCTGTAGGAGGCTGTCCTCATTCTTAGAAACATAAGCTGAACTGTTGGGAAGTAAAGAATCATGCTATCTGCAACTTACCCTCAAAGGGTTTAGCAAACGACCTACTTCAATGAACAGATTAGTAAACCTGGTTAAAGAGCAATCTGTATTACTCTTGCAACTACTCTATACATTCGAAAATACTTCAACATAAAATGCTGGGTTTTGCTGTGGTTGTTTTGTGTTTAATTTGCCAGAGGATATGTGCACCTGCCAGACAAAGAGAGAGAAAAAGTAAGTGAGAAAGCACCCAGCCACGGGGGATACGGGGATGCTCACGCCACAATCCCTGCTCCTCCATTTCTCCTTCCTTTTGGGATTTTGGACATGCATATACATAAGCTTGGCATATCTCTCAAGCTACTGGGTTGGGATTCGAACCACCCAGTGGGTTGTCTGGGATCCAACTGCCTCAACTGCATCACTGGCTGGCCCCAAAATGTTTTTTTTTTTTTTTTTCAAGTGCTATGAAAAAAAAAATAGGTTACGTCTGGGCTATGTGATTTTCATTCTCGAACATACTTGCATTTGAAATTCTTTTTACAAATGGAACATTTCCAAAATCACAACAAAAGCTATTTTTATTTTGGAAGGAAAACTTGATCTCATGCACTAAAGTACAGTCTGAAAAATATTTCTTCAAATATTAGTCTCGCACATTAGCTCATTTACATTATGAGTAAGAGCACTGGTGGTTAGAGGCACTCTCCAATGTCCAAGTTCTTGGGTTTGTTTTGTTTAGTTTGGCGAGGTCCTGCTGTGCGGCAGGCCGGCCTGAAGTGCTCAGCCTCCCAACGCACGGGGGTCACAGGTACACACCACCACATCTGGCCTTCGGGCCTCCCAGGTGGTCCCAGCCTAAGGAGCACAGTGGGCATCCAAAAGATTTTATTATTATAATTATCTAAAGCATTATTTACTTCATTTTATTTATTTATTTAATTTGACCAGAGAGAGAGAGAGAGAGGGAGCAAGCAGGCCGCCAGGTTTGAGATTCAAACTGCAGTCAGCCATGTGGGAATCCAGCACCTTAACTACCATACCACCTGCCAGCCCTCCACTCCTAGTACTTTAAATATGAAATTGCCACCTGTTGGATCGGTTGGTCTGAGTTTCATCATTTACTCAAGGAACTAATCTAGAACCAGCTCTTTCTATGTGCTTTCTCACTACGTATTTTCAGGATTGGAGACCTGTGATTTTTTTTTGTATTACAAACTTAACTCTTAGTCAAGACGTCATGGATGCTCCTAGCATTTTTAACGGGATTTTATTTATAATTTTCCTCTTTTTTTTTTGAAGAGGTTTTTGCTACAGGGCACATGCACTCACCAGAAAGACAGAGACAGAAAGATAGAAAGCAAGAAATCACCCCCCCAGTGGGGATGGCCACACTGCAATCCCTTCTCCTCCATTCTCCTCTCGGGATCTTGGGCACGCACGCACACACGCCAGGAGGGATTTTAAGCCACCAGGTCCGAGACGCAAACTGTGGTTGACTACATAAGAGTCCAGCGACATAGCCATTACGCTAACTGCTGGTCCCTCATTTTTCTCTTAACTTCAGTCTGTGGAACCTAGCTACATATGGAGTCCACAGAGAAAATGAATACATTGAAGCTTTTTTTTTTTCTTTTTGGCTTGGACTGATCTTTGGGGCCTAGAAGCTCTTCTTCTTGGTGCTCACCAGAGAAAAACAGAGACAGTGAGAGGGAAAGTGAGAAATGACCCCCAGGGGAATGGCTACATCACAATCCCTTCTCTTCCATTTTCCTCCCGGGATCTGGGGCACACACATACCCCATGTGATTTTTAAGCCGCCAGGTCCAGGACTCAAACTGCCATCGGCCAGGTGAGAGTCCAGCAATATAATCACTATGACATTTGCTGGGCCCTAGAAGCTCTTCTTATTAGCAAAGTTACAAGGCAGAAAGCTTCTCCCTGGCTCCAAGGCTCAAGGAAGGTTTGGTAATAAAACAGATTCTGGGACTAGCAGATGGCGTAATGGTTACATCACTGGACTCCCACGTAGTGGAACATAATTTGAGTCCCAGAGTTTAAAACTCATGCCAGGTGTGTGTGTGTGTGTGTGTGTGTGTGTGTGTGCCCAAAATCTTGAGAAGAGAATGGAGGAAAAGGGATTGTGGTGTGGCTATATTCCCTGGGGGGTATTTCTTGCTTTCTGTCTCCCTGTCTCCAGTGAGTGCAAGCACCTACAGCAAAAAATCTTTTACAGAAAAAACAAAAATGTCTGTTGTTCTATTGGTTCATTAGGAAAGTAATGACACATTTTTGCATAGAAAACATAGAAAAATATATCATGATTGTCCTAAGGACCTAATATTGGTAAAATAAATCTGTCCTTTTCATAAGACAACCTGACTACCAGAAAGAGTCCTGAAACCTTTTCTACTACACCATACAAGGTATGTGTCCAGCACCTTGACTTAGCAGGCATGAGAGAATGTAAACAATTACTTTTAAGAAGTAATGTAGGGGAGCCAACAGGTGGCATGGTGGCTAGGGGCCTAGACCCCCACATGACTGACCATGGTTTTAGCCAGGACATGCCGGCTTTCCCTCTCTCTCTGAGCACACATGCTCTACAGCAAATCTAAAAAATAATCATAAATAAAAATAATTATTTAAAAAAAAAAAGAACTAATATATGCCGGCCAATGGCCTATTCATCAAGAAAGCCACATCCTATTGAATACATGGCCAACTGCACAGTTCAAATTCCAGTCCAGCAGCTGAAATACATGTGGGGTGCACATGTATGTGTGCCCCAAATCCCCCAAAAGAGGAGAAATGGAGAAGAGATTACAACATGACCAAACCCCACAGGGGAAGGGGTGCTTTCTCGCCCTCTCATGAGCCCATGAGCTCTCTGACAACTGAAAAAAAACGAGGGGGGGGTCAGACAGTGGTGTGGTGGTTAAGGCAGCTGGAACCCACACGGTCATCTGTGCTATTTGAGTCCTGGACCTGGCTTCAAAAACATGCCTGGCACGTGTCCAAAGCCCGAAAAGGAAGAAGAAATGGAACAGGAGTTACAGAATGACCATCCCCCATGGAGGCTGATTTCTCACTTTTCCTCTCTCTCTTTCTCTGGCAAGTGTAAGTACCCGCCAGCAATATTTTAAAAAATAAAAACGAATTTAGCCCAATGCTTCACTTTAAAAAAAAGATTTACTAATTTTTTGGTTTTTTGAGAGGTTTTTGCTATAGGGTGCGTGCGCTTGCCAGAAAGACAGAGAGACAAAAGCGAGAAATCATCCCCCAGGGGGGATGGTCACACCGCAATCCCTTCTCCTCCATCCTCCTCTTGGGATTTTGGGCACACACGCACATGCCCCCAGTGTGAGTTTAAGCTACCGGGTCCAGGACTCAAACCGCAGCCAACTACATGGGAGTCCAGTAACATAGCCATTATGCCAATTGCTGGCCCCCAATTTACCAGTTATTTTGTAATTTCAAAAATGTTTATCTTTGGGGCTGGCAGGTACCATGGTGGATGGGGCAGCTGGATTCCTACATTGCTGACCGTGGTTCGAGTCCCGGACCTGAAAACTTGCTTTCTCACTTTCCTTCTCTCTCCCTGGTCAACTTTCAAAAAAACGAAGTAAAATAAAATACTTCTTAAAAAAAAAAATTACCTTCAATGTTGCATTTCTGTGACTTTTTAACATTCATATTCTTCCTAAGCCTCAAACAGATACTAACTGATTTAAATTAAATACGAACACCCTGCAATACGGAAAAATCCTGAGTTAAAGATAAGGCATGCAACCTAAAGTTAGTGCAACAAAATTTGTTCGACAAGCTTACAGATATATCTTTGAGTTGTCCCCCAACCCCTACAAGCGATTTCCTCTTCTAAGGCAACATCTACCATAATCCCTCATTGGGAACACCCCATGTGGCAGGTTGCTCCTTTTCTCTGATCAAAACCCTCTAGTTCTTTTCAGCCGGAGTTGAAACCCTAACTCTCCTGAAAGCTCTCAATTGCACGCTGTCTCTGAAACATTCCACTCAGCTCTGGTATCCAATACCCAGAGCAGCTAATGAACAGTTTGCCATTTTAATATGTTCCGGAACAGGAGTTGAAAAATGATAAAGTCAAGATGATAAGGGGAAGTCCTGGGGGCGGGGGTTCAAGAACGAGAAGATTGTATCCTATCACTGGACCCAAAGACCCTCGGCCAGCCGTCCTTTCTTCCTAGCAGTTTCAGCGTTCCTAACCATGAAACCTTCAACCCCGTAAGCTGAGTTACATGACCCGGTTTCCTTGCTGTTACTGATAAGGTACCTACCCCGTATCGCCCAGTCCATGAAGGAAAATCACCTGGAAAAGAAGACATCAAAATTAAAAAGGGACACGCCATGCCTAAACAAGCGCACACAGCCTGGTTACACACGGGCCCCCGCCAAGGTGGAACACGGAATGTTCCTGCAAGCCAGGCCCGATACAGCCCACGACCTTCCTTCCGCAAGGTCTGGAATCACTACAGACTCTTCCAAACAGCAGCGGTACGAATCCCTGCCTGCCCTTCCGCCCCTGGTAATTCTGTGGGCTGGAGTCCCGCCGGGCACGCGCGGGATCACGTTCTAGGAAAAACAGTTCGTCTCTCTAAAGTCAAACCTCGAAAGTCTCCCATACACTGTGCAATTTTTCCAGGCTGGAAAGGAGCTGCAGGGGCAAAAGTTTGAGTCTCCAACACAAGTTTTCTTTAAAAAAAAAAAAAGAAAGAAAGAAAAAAAAAGGCACTTCTGAGCCTCTAAGACACTAAATCGTCAAACTTCCTTCGGTAAGGACAGAGAGCCAGCTAGGACGACAAAGCGACTTCTCGCGGAGTCGGACCCCGCATGCATGCACCGGCAGAAACCGGCGGGGAAGCCCCTACGAGCGCCCCCTCGGGCCAGGGTCCGGGTCCGGGTCCGGGTCCGGGTCCGGCTTCACTCCGCAATGCAGAGGCCCCCAGGGTGGGCTGGGCCCGGGGCCTGGCCGGGGCCCCGACCCCGGCACTGTCCGCGCACAGGCCGGGCCGCGACCACCCGGACCGACCC